GTCTCCCCTCCGCTCAGCAGCAGTGTTATCGGCTTCCAACCTGCCTTTGAAACCAAAGTAGTCTGATTTTTCAGTGAGTGCCGTTGAAACTGTAGGTGACTGAACACTTCAGCCCCTTAGGAGGCGCTAGAACCTGAGTTGGGAAGTTTACCACGCGCGACGGGACGTACACACCTACTGGAGACCTATACTTAACGAAATCACGCACTCCATAATCGAGGCAGTTCCGCTTTTGCTGCCGAAGCGCTCCAAGCCACCGAAAGTAACAAGCAACTCTACTCGTGAACTACCTAGGCTAGAAAGTAGCTATTTGACTAGGCACAGGCAGAATGGCAACGAACACATATATGGTCTGTTTAACGTAACAAGATAAACTTGAACGGAGGGGCTGAGAGCCTATCAATTGCTGCATCAAGTTAGGCCTATGAACATGTTTCTTTCGCTGTGCTGCATTCTTCCGACTTCTTAAAGCGACAGTATCCCAACGCGTAGGGTCTAATATAATTGGTCGGCTCCATAATTTTTTGCGAGTTAGGAACAACAAATATCGTCGGATGAACCATATTCACTTCATGTGCTCTAGATCTTCCACATATGCACCAAATTTGAAGTGGTAAACAGCAAGACGTCGGCGTCAAACATCAGTCATTAGATACATTTCGGCATCAAACAACGCCAGATACATCTTTCAAACCCAAACATCAAAACATATAACTGGAAATAGAGATGAATGACAATGCCCAGGGCCTAAACAGCCAATGCGGGAAACAAGTTACGACAAGGCAGACTCCAAAAATAAACATTAAGCACAAAGCGAGATGTGGCGTAGCAGTAGTAAAGGAATGTGATTACAGCTCAAGATGGTGGGAATTCTGATGGAAAGGGGAGAACAACAAATGTGACGGGCAAGGTTTGTGAAATAATGGTGGGGAAATGGAATGGGATAATGGGCTAAAGCAGATCGATGATGGGAATGTGAATAATTTTTGAAAGTACTTTGTAAGACAGTAAGATGAAAGGAAAAATGGGAAATAAAGTTGCAGGAAAAGAATGACTTGCCAAGGCAATGCAAGGTGGGCCAAAAACTCCTTTTGCGCACATAAATCTGGTTTCAATCAACGGGTTGCTTCTGCATAAGGTAGCAGTCTACTATTTCTTTGTCTGTTGGTTACCCTAAAAGCCATGTTTGAGTCGACGGTATGACCTGCATCGAGTATATGCTTTCCAATGGCGCTATTTGGTGGTCTTACAACTCTCGGTGACGGGTTATGCGGTACATGTTCGGAGATTCTTTAAGTGAGGATCCCCTCCACTCGCCCGGTATACATGCTGCTGCAAGCATAGGTGAACAAATAAATACATTCGGAGGTAACATGAGAAGGTCTCACATCTAAGTTAGTTTCTCTGATCATGTTCTTCGCGCTGTAAACAAAGGTTAATTTCGCAGCCGTATAAATTTGGGCGTTCCACGCATTCAGTCGGCAGTTGGGGTTTGATGGGTAGACAAGTAGTGACAATGGAGCAGCGGAACTTATGGTTGATCAGTACTCAAAAACCTTTTCACCACCAGCCATCTGCACAGGAGCCTATGAATATCCTGGCAACCAAGTAGGACTCCTGTTCATTGACCTAAGCGTTGAGCTAGTACGGAACAAACTGTTATCTCCAACGAACGATACCTAAACGCAGCCGTAAATTATCCGAGCAGAAGTTTTAAGGGAAAGAGTATCACTTACAGTTCCGTGTTGTCGAGACTACATGCATGGCGCGCATAATGTTTTCGATGCACCACTTTTCATGTCTCAGGACAAAATGTAAACGCATTATTGATCGCCCAGTGTTGAAGTTGCGCTCAGTTTTCAAGCGTTAAGCCACCATCTTCCCGACTTCAAATTTCTGTCCATAATTTCACGTTGTTGGGAGAAAGAAGGATTTTAGCAGAAACCTATTGAAGCAGGTCGTTTATGCGTGCTGTCAATGACCTCTGAGCACCCCTACTGGGAGATTCTGTTTCTCCCCATGTGAAAACTTACTTGGACGCAATAATAATATTTTTTCTTAAATTCACGGGTACAAATCGTTTTCATGGATATTTTATTACATTTAGTGGTGAAAAATCTTTGGTAATGTCGCTTGCCATCTCTTATTCATCCCAGGTGGTGGTAATCCATGGGCTAAAAGAAAGATTTCACACCATGTACAAATGCTGCACATTAGGTCACATATTGACCTTTGCGTTCATTCGCAGGTATAATAAGGTTGTTTGGAAGAAATGAAAATCGTGTTCCATGACTGTGTGAATAAATATACAGGCGGTCACGTAGGCATGAGGACAACCAGTCGATGAGTGGTGTTTTTATCGCTGCTAATTTCGACCTAACAACAATGGCAGTGGTGAATAACAAGACCAAAGGTCTCGGAAAAGTCTAGATAAATAACATCAGCTCTACCCTGGCGGTCGACAATACTGGCCGTTCTATGACTACAGTGAGCGGGTTAGTGGCTCAAGAGTACCCTTTCCCCAGCCCGTGTTGTTGGGGCGTGAACAAGTTAATCATCATAAGATGATCCCTCAGCACATCATAAGTTAACGACCCCATTACTTTCGAAGGCACGGATAAGAGCGTCACTAATCTCTACATCCTCGGGTATTTTCGTTGACCTACTTTGAAGATTGGTGTGGTGTGACTCTACCTCCAAAGATTGCGCACTACCTCGAATTTTAGAAACTTGAAAAAACTTTGCTTAGGATTCATTATGAAGACCACCAAAATTTTTCTCAAGGACTAGCTACTTCACCCCAAACGGAAATTAGACGGACAAGCTGGCGATGTGTCCGCTGGTTCACCTGTCTCACTCATAGTACCAAACCTATTTATGAGTGAATTCGAAGAACAGTGTCTTCGCATACTTTCCAAAAGCGAAAACTTGGCTGACGCGTGTTTATGACATGTTTTGGGTTTTAAAACCTGACTCTTGCATGGCATTCTTAGATGCGCTGAATTTTAAACCACTCAGTACCAAGTTCAGCTCATAAAAATGGAATATTTGTGAGCTGGCCTCCCTTGATTGTCTTGTCAAGCAGAAAAAAAGCACTCGGGCATAGACATTTTTGGGAAAGCAACACATTCGAGGAAGTGTTTCAATTCACCACATCCAATCAGTGCGAGATCTCCCGTTGCCTCCAGTCTTTCAAGGAGAGCATAAACCCTGTAAAGGGATGAAAATGAACGGGTTAAAGAACTATGAAACTTGAACAGAATTCTTTAAAGGAACAATTATCTGATGAATTTCATCCTCAAAACAAAGTTAAACGGAATGATAAAATTGCTTCTAAATCCTAGGCCTCAACAATGGACACTAAACACAGGAAATACGCTTCGGACGAGATTAGGAGACTACCCAACAAACGCAAAGCCAGAGTGTTGTATAGATCACCAAACAAGTCACAGATCACCCTAGTCCAGGTGAAGGAAGAGATCCTTCTGGATTCATGGCCTAACTGTGTTTACAAAGGAAGGTGCTCAGACCACGGTACAATATACGTGGAACTGACTCCACGTGAAATGGAAACCAGGGAAAATGAACGCCGAGGGGCCTCTATCCGAACTCCTGGGAATCCAGCACAGCTAAAAAGGCCTAGAAACGTTTCAGCCACCGCTCTGCCTAACGTGATTTCAACTCACCAGGTCGATCTTGATGCCATCGGAATTATTCAAAAAAACTCTTAGAAACTATGAAAAAACATCTCATAGCAGAATCTATTCACGAAAAGTGGGGCCAAAGTTGTATAAACAGAAATGAAGGAAAGAAACATAACCTGACCTGGTTTCAACCCACCTCCACATACACATATTATCAAAACATGAAGGTATGCAAATCTTTATCCTGTAATTCTTGCAGCTCATACATAGTTAAGTATATGTAGATGTCATCTTTATTCAACAATTCGACTGCACAAAATCATTCATCGAAGAGAACATATAGCGAGCTATCATACATATTGTAAATTCCAGCTTGCTATAAAGTTAATAAATGTGATAGCGCTAAATAGTAAGGTGTCAGCTAAACAAATTTGTCGTGTTTTACATTCCTTGGGAGATATAAAAGCAAACATATTGAAGGACTTGGTCAACTTGAAGATCATCATGTGGCACAGCCTGAGGATCACAGTTTGGTCCGCTTCCTTTCTCACTTTTTGTGAATTTTCTCCTGCTGGATCTCTCCTCTACCGTTCTTGTTTACTCTGCCGATGTCGAATCTTAGAGTTGTGATGCCCAACAGAGTATGACGATCTTAGTTTGCTTGCAGTGTGAGAGCGTCGTAATGGACTGGAGTTTAACCTGGATAAAGGCCGAACAGTATTTTTATGACCTCTAGAGAAGCAGAAAGTATCTTGTTGCCCCGTCGTACGCGCCTTCTCACACCACCGCGGAGAAATGCCTGGGGCTAGTACCGACTGAGTGGTTGGACTCTAGTTCCAGTAATCCAGGAGATGCTCCAACAGCCTACGCTACACTAACTTTTGTGCTCACACACCTAGCAGCCCTCACCTAGGAACTATCCTTGAAAATCTACAAGGCATATATGCTATCTCATTTAGAGGCCTAAGAAGTCATTGATCACTGTACCTGTAAAGAAATATGAGGTCTCCGGAACATGTCCAGAAGGGAACCACGAAGGGCTTCATAAGAGTGCGGTAAAAATCCCATGAGAATAGAGCAAAACAGTCACCTCAATATGCCAACTTTCCTGCGCTCCCAACCTTGTCACTAACTCGACTCAAGCCTGTAATTCCCTGTCAGACGTCTTGCCCTTTTAGTTACCATAACCCACCAATATCATTTCTATCTCTATCCTAATTATCCCTGCCGTGATTTACTATCCTTACCCCTCTCTCTGACTCTCTGTGATTTTGCCCATTTACTAGGGTTCTCGTTTTGAATGCTTGCTTTCTCGCCTACCTATCTACCTGAGTGTCCCCTTCCCTTCTGTTCTACTGGTACAATGAAGATGAACAGATATAGTTATTTGCTGAGGTTAGATTTTGGCTGATAAACCTCCATTGGCATAAATTTAGAAATCAAAATGTTAATTATTCCAAATTGATGCGAATAATAGTATCTAAGCGTGAGTTTGATACGATTGTCAAACAAAACCCAAATTGAGGAAAAAACTCAATTTGGACATCTGTTTATACAACTACAAGTAAAACAGCTATTGGGGACATATATGTTAAAATTTACCACAAATGACTTTTATAACAGAAAAGTTCCTGCTAGGATATAAATAAATAACATACAACAAACTGGAATTTGTAGACATTCAGTAAAGATTACACTGCAAAATACTAAAGAAACTAATGCAGCAAGCGTGTAACAATCCAGTTATATAGGTGATACACTTCCATCTTATGCATGCATGAAAAACACAACAGTTAAAATACAGGTAGCTAACATGAGCGCTGTAAAGAATACACAAGTGTAATTGCGATTTATATTTTCAAACAATCCTGACTACATATGCAAACAGCAATCGTTATAACAGTGCTGTAAAGCAGCGGGCGTGAATAATCGTAATCATAACGACAACCATTTTGACAGGTGCTACATAGCTTGATTAACAACAGAACACTGAAAGACAACTTATCAAGACACTCACTTACAGGCTTGTTCACTCACTGTTTCGGAAGATAAAAGCACCGAATACAAGAGTATGAAAGCAAAGGTAATACCATATCTTTTTGGAATTAAGCGAGTTAGAATAATCATTTTATCTTTCAGTGCAACACGATATCCACATAAAAGAATCAGTGTACTACTACGCTATGAATGACAGATATTCCACTGTACTCAAACTTATTATGTATATGATAAAATTCTTTATGAGAAGCACGGCTCAAACCAACAGTGTATAAAATAACAAACTAAAGGTTTACAGCTTTTTTCTAACCCCACTTTATAGACTACATACTATTCTTCATTAGGATTATGCAACATACCAGTGAATAGTATGGACAGATTTGAGATATCGACAGCATCAGTCAATACATTCGACTGAGCAGACGGGAATGATCTACACACGTGATGCAGTTTCTATAGTTGAAGATCGAGTTCAATAGGATATACAGAAGCAGTGTTTAAACTATTGTAATCCAACTGGCTGACTTATCAAGACTGGGACTCTTGGGCCGAAAATATTGCAACGTATAGAGTTGACTTTGAGAACTCTAGTATCAACTGCGCTAGCACCATAGATGTCTGGTAAAAAAAATGTTTGACTTTGATAACCTTGAAAATGAAGTGGAATATAAACAAAGCAGCGCTTAGTAGGAAACAATTTTTTATCATGCACAGAAATTAATCCGACAAATTATTACGCTAAATATTCTTCTCATTAGAAGTTAGAATGAAAGTCGAAAACTACTTCAAGAGGCCAATGTAATTTCTGCACGGATACAAAAGGTCTGATTAGCTTCCGCCAACTTACGCCATTTGTGGTGCCACTTCAAAATCCGATTTCCGATTAAGGATTGGATGTACTGCATTTCACTTTGCTCTGTTCTACTATGTGGTAGTAGACAAGGCTTCAGGTATTCTACATCCGTTGCCTTTTTAGCATAGGTTGTAGTGTGGTGTCACTACACCAGTAATGCAGAAGTTAACTGTAAAGTATTGGTAAGAAGAGGAAATTCACTTGATGAGATTTTGAACCTTTATCCGCTCAGGTGGTTGGGATGTGTGCTACGCATGTCTATTCACAGACTGGCTCGTCGCGCAATGTTGACTGAAGTAGGTTTAGGCTGAAAAAGCGTTAGAGGTGGCCAGACTAAAACATGGTATCTCTCCGTTAAGTCCTTGACTGTTGTTCTTTGCTATATAGGGAGATGCAGACTATCCGTTTCGGAACCAGGGGATAACATAAATTGGCGATTAGAGACTCTAGGTGACATGGCTAAAAATCCATGTCATTGGGCGAAGATGTATCCACAGTTTATTTTCATCTTGACCTCTTTGCTGAATTCAGTATTTTCGCCTTTCTCCTTCCTCTATTATTACTATCTACTTCTTTTGATTGAATTTTTCTTTCTCTCTTCGTTCTTCATCTTATGGCTTTGTTACTTGTTGTCCTGATATGAGGTGTGGCTTCTTGAACTGTTACACAGTAATACCTGGCCCTATGTTGATGTTGCTTATGGTGATCGACGGGTAGAATGCACGAAAACACTAACATTTAAGCAACTGTACCACTGGTATGATGATTACTCGCTTATATAACATACTGAACCCCTGCACCTACTGAACAGAGAGTGATACGATAATTTTGTGCATGATTAATGGGAAAATCTTGTGCATACGCACACTTATTGTTTGTTTTCTCGTCTCTAAATCAAGATTATGAGATAAATATATTCTATTTGCAGCTCGTTAAAGTATTTGCCCAACAGACCACAGTATAATTAGATAAACTGATACAAAGGTCGTACATATAAAGACTGACTTCACTTGCTTTCAAAGTATTAAGACATGGTTTTAGCGAACAAACATTTTTGTTCGCTGAAACCACGTCTTGTCTTATCAATCATGAATTTATCTTTTCAACATATTTCTGTGCTTTATTTATCATTAGATGAGTAACTGCTAAAAGTAATATTGGTTTTGATGACTATTTAATTTTGGTATAATTGCTTGTATTATACCATTGTTGATTAGACCGAATTGATCGGTCTCTGTTGGCATATGGCTTCCTGTGCGGATGCCTCGATATTACCTGTGTTCTTATTATAGTAAAGATGAATATTGGCTGACAGTGGAATCCAGGATGTGCATTTCATCCTATTTGGGACTCATCAGCTGGATGTACCTGTCTCCCACTGAGTGATGTTATTCCCACCAGGATTGGAACTCTGGAGCTATCGCTTTAAGCGTTGCACTAGAAGTGGCTATCGTGGCACGGTGGTCTAGTGGATGACGCTCTGATGTTTGAATCGGTAGACCGAATCCCGATGGAAACAATATCACTTACTGGGAGACAGGGACATCCAGCTGACGAGTCCCGAATAAGACGAAATGCGCATCCTGGATTCTACTGCTAGCCACTATCCATCTTTACTATTTAATTTTGCCCTGTAATTTTTCGGTCGAAAATGATGACAACTTTCCTTCAGCAGTAATCTAAAGAATTTACATCTCCAAGGAAGATATTTCAATTTTCGTTCAGTATGCTTTATTTCAAGCGTCTGATATCTAGAACTGTAATGATACTTTGATATAGTTGTGATTATTTTATATAAAAAGTCGCTTTCAAAGTTGAAAATCTATGTTTCAGTGTGAAGAAGGGAGAGTCAGTGGAGCACTAATTCTCTCTAGATGATCTGGTAAATGTTAGCCATTTAACCGCCCCATCCCACTGTCGCAGTCAACAGACGCCAGAAAACAACCAAGTCTATTCAACAAAGACCAACTGACTGATGATTAGCTCATTACGGAAATATTCAATTTTGAAGACGTGACAGTCGTTGAGAACAACTAAGATGAAGATGACGAAAATAAATAAATGAACTATCATAAAACAACACTGAGGTAATTGGATGGACTGATTAAATGGTAAGTAATAATGTACGCTGATTAAAATAGCTTTTGTCTATTCCCGTTATGTGTGACATATTGCTGACTAGGGAACGATCGTGCCAAACAACGGTGCGCTTTCCCCTATATTATGATTGTGAAACTCAGTTATTAAAAGCAAGTGTTGTTGTGAATATCCCCCAACACTTATACACATATACGAGGAGAAGATGGGACTTCAGAAACACTGAAGGTTACAGGATAAGCGCACATAAAACATACTTGTATCTTTAATAGAGAGAGAACTTATTCGAAGATTATGCATGCAGTTCAATGAGTTACAGTATGCATGAATAGGCAGGAGATATTTGAAGATAGTCTAGTATCACAGATAAATATTAGTTAAGAAAAAGAATGAAAAACAAGTTGTGGTGAACAGTTGCTTCATGCAATTTCAGTTCTTCACAAGAGTGAGCACCATCGGCCTCAGGAATTAGGGGTTTTAGAGTGAGCATTTGCGGGTTAAACTACTGAGCTGAAATATAATGACATAAGCTAACAAGTAGATAATACTGACCACCATAGATTACAAAGTTGATAGTGCCATTTGTTGTTCTTTAAAAAGGTTTGTTGAAGAAAGAACTTTTCACCAAAACAGTGAAAACAAACTAGAGATATCAAAGAGTTAGAGGCGTATGAATAAGTAGGTCATCCAATTCCTTTGCAGCGTAGTTAAATGCCAGACTGAGCGGTATATTGTTTTTTCATGATAACTTATGAGCAGCTGTTACTTTGTGTCTGATGTATTGGAGGTGAATCATACTTTAGTGTAGGCACAAGGCAGTGAATTTACTTTTTAAACAACCATCACTCCTGTAATCAGTGGTGTCTGTCAGCTATCATGTATAGCTAAAATATGCCTCTTTGGAACGGTATTTTATTGTGACAATAGTGAAGCTACTGATCATTCATTATCAATACTACAGTAGCATTTAAAGTATCGTAAGACAGCCATCAAGAAAGAAATAAAATAAGATATTCTACAAGTTACTTTTGGTTTTCTGCCGTAGTTTTACGGATGCCAGGAATTTATGCCAAGAGACTTCATTTAAGATAAGTGACAGTTCATGATGTAAATCAAATCACGTTATCTATTGTTTCAGAAGTCAAGAATAGTTTATCATTTCGAAAATGATGCATTTCATATATGCAAATCTCCTATCTGAAGGTTTTTATGTTTTCTTTTAAAGTTATTTATCTATATCTGACAGTTTAGTCTTCTGCTAAACCGACCAATCAGCTACTATTCATTTGAATACGCCTACTAACTACGTTTTTTGGTTTTCTTATCATAATTTCATAATAAGCAATGTTTTAAAATGGACATCACATTTGCAATCGAACTAGGCTTCTTAGTTAAGTATTATAGATATTAGTTTTCATACTATCCAAAATTGTTTATGAAACGTGAGTCGTTAAAGAAAGCAACTTAAACAGTATTGGTTAGCAATCGATACAGACTAAGTAAGTAAATTAGATTATTTTATTTCGTTATAAAATAGCTTCATCAGTATTTATTACCTGATATTGCTTATAACCATCACTTATGCTTGCCCGAAACAAATTTCTGCCTCCTCTGTACTACCAGGGCTCCAATTGATTTACTACTGAGACACATAATCAGTCAGTCAACCAATCAAAAATGTGATAATATATGTTTTGGAATATTGGAAAACAAAAGATATCATTTTATATAGGGGAGGCTTACTTTACACTCATTGTAGAGGTTCTTCGTCTGTGTAAATTCGTACTATTCCAAAATGCAATGCTTGATTTGCGTTCAGTTACATCAATATTAGCCAGTGAACCAATAAATTTATCACCCGTCTCTGGTACATCCATGTCCATTTCTGCAATGCCACCCTCAGATGCAAACTTACTCCAGTCTGGGAGTATAATGTCTGTTGTATTCCAGAATGCATCACGTACGAGATCCGGATGTTCATGATGCATTCCATCAACAATAAGGTACGACACCTGTTGAGAAAAACAAGGAAATTAGTTTCAAAAACTTTATACGTGATTAGTTCGCAATAAAATGGTAAAATACCAATGATAATAACACGATGACTATATGACCATCTTAAAATAGATCCTATCAGCAACTTTGATCATATATACATATATATATATATAGCTGACTGCGCCAAATGGCAAGAAAGAATGGAAATCCTTTTTTGCTAACTACAAAACAACCAACCCGACGAATAAAGCGTCCGAGGTTCTAGGTTTCATAACCTTTGAAGGCTTTAGTGAAACTCGAGAACAGCGAATCTGCGAAAATCAGGGAGGTTTGAAATCTGATCGCAGGTGTATTGATCAGATGCTTAATTACCGCCAGGTTTCGGAAAGCCGGCACGCTTAATAGTATCTGGCATTAGCTGTACTTCTTGATCTGAAAGCAGCATTCAGTTACATTGATCGACGGGTCTTGTGGCAGCGACTGTTAATGGAAGTGCTCCTTAGTAAGCATATCACTTTGTTGAAGGCTGTGTATCCAAACACGCGTTGGTTAGGTGCCAAAGTTGAGTGGTATTTGTCAAGGGTGTACACTCTCGATTATTATTTTTCGTTTTTCTAGACATGCTTCTAGAAATTTCTTTCTCCTCATCTGACTTTACAGGGATTGACCTTGTTGCAGCAGACTCTTTAGTTGACCTATAGTACGATATAATCCTTTTGAATGATGTCGGCAAAAGGTGATCCTATTGACACGTTCAGTCGAAATTTGAGAATGTTTGGGATTTATTCATCACTATTCAAATGCAAACTGCTGCTTCAGGATGTATCTGAGTTTTTACCTTGCCTGAAATTGGGCAGTAAACCAGGTGAATGCGTTGACAGCTTACTTTTCTTGGGAATTCAGATCAGCGGTGATGCATCGGTGGCTAAAGAAATCCTACTTATGACATCAGTGAGATATCCCATTATCAACTAAGGGTAGAGTAAACTGCACAGAGAATCTTTCTTTTATATTTATGGATCCAAAATATAACTAGTAGAGATAGACACACAAGAAGGCTGCATGTATTCAACTACAGATATCTTCGTTGCAAAATCTGAGTATTGTGGAACAGCCATGCAAGAAATGCTGAGGCTAGACGTAGAGTCTTGAGTAAAAAGATAAGTCATTTCAGGGAGTCATAAAGCTTCATTGACTAAGTTACCTGAGATACGTGTTGCATATGCCTAGTCATCATTCACTCAGACTCAGACAGGGAAAAATCGAAAGGTGGTGAGATCAAAATGTGGTATCAGTTCATGAATTCCCTTAAAGTTGAAGTGAATTATGTAGGCTTACAAGTTGTGATTCACAAAACAGCCTAAATTAATGGTTGGAAACTGTAAGCGATATAGCTGAGTATTGATCGTAATGATGCAGATCCATCCATGCCTTTGCGTCATCTTAACCCTTATATCAAACTTCGTTATTTGCTTTATTGCCTCTTGTTTTCATACAGTGACTTTTTATAACGTTTAAAATATTATTTCTGCCTTTCGTCTTGCTACCGTAGACTGTGTTTGTGCAAAATGTACCAAACCGAATCGTTATGCAGTAATGTTAGGTTATATGTTGATAATAAATGACTGACAAGTTTGAGAAATATAAAATTTCGATTAGTGTAGTGGTAAGACTGAATTATTTATAAGAGTACCAAAGGACATCATATATAATTATTACTTCATATTATCAATATCAAGAGAGTGTTTGAATTATCTAACGGACCAACTATAACTTCAGTATATCAGTGGTAAATTATCTGATAACAGGGGCTGTTCAGACCTCTCGGTCTCAAACATCAACCGGTATGTGTCAAAAAGAATGAAAAATAGATCAAGCGATGCATCTCGTCATTTGACTTCAGCCTTTGAAAATAACCATAGAGTTAAAAGATAAGAGGTTCTTTCTTTCTGGTTCACCATAGACCATAAGTATGACTACCAGAGAATAAATTCCATCTGGCTTAGTTTGAGAAATATACTGTTAGCCGACTGAACTTTGTTTTTACTGTGTAAGATAGAATGCCTATGCTAGATTGGAAATGACCATCTACTTGAAGCAATATAAAAATGACCTCTACCAACAGGTTTATGAAGTGAAACATGAAAGATCAACTACTGAGTAGCCTACTCAAAATAGACAGGAAAAAAACATAAACATCAAAGACAACTTCAATTTTAGTTAGTGGTATTTTTGCTCAATATGTTTCGAGAGTGACTTTGCCAACTAGCAGCATATTCTATTCCTGACTACGTTAAATATCACCCTTTCTATGAACACTCATCAGGTAAGTTATTTGGGATATGTTCAGTATTTCAAACTATAATCCATCACCATTTCGTTCGAGTCATACTGAAAAAGATACAGGATCGATGTATGAAGTTTCTTATTGTTTTTCTAAGCCAAGTAAAAAATTGAAGTTTGCTAGCTGAGTTCATCGGCTCAAACTATAAGGGATCTGGCTCAAAATAAAAAACAGTGATTCCGGTTGGTTCACGTTTATCTTTATTTACTTTCTTATTTGTTTGATAGCCGTAACGGCATTCATGTCATTATTCTCATCCTACCGTCTTTCATGTTGGTAAATTTTACTTAGATATACCACCTGGATGAGTAACACCTTGGATTTATGTACAGTTGAGCTAATTTCACTGTCGGCAGCATCTATCCATCTGTGTTCTCTTTACATTCGATAATGCAAAAAGTAATGAAACTATAATAGATCGATAATCAAATTGAGAGTACTTACCAGTAGACTCGTTTATTAGTCTTTGAGCCACACCTTTTTTACCATCTCACACAATAACTTTTTAACCACCTAAAACTTGGTAGGTGAAGTAAGATTCAAATTCATAACCTTCTATACAAAAGCACAAGTCACGAGCTCGAATCAGTTTAAACGAACAAACTAGCACATTAAATATTTTCTTACTTCAAAACACGTCCTGAAGCATATATAATGTAAAGCCCACAATTTATAGGATAAAACGCATCAAAAAGGGATAGGTTGTTTACATGACACTTAAGGTCAACGGAAGAATAAGAAAAACATTTAAAGGTCAGTAGAGAAGAAAATAAGCAAAGGACTTATCGATTTTTAGCCGAAATTAACACGAAATTAAAATTGATTGTAACTGAAGAGAAATATACAGTGTATATCCATTTACTGGGAAGTTTTTATCGAGATTTGAAGTCAAGCATACCTTACTTAAGTATGTGCACACAAATACAAAGATGTAAAAATATCCTTTTCTAAATTTTTTTTAAACTTACACCTGTTTACATCCATTTTTACATTATATTGTATTAGATGTTTTGTTGTATTGTTTGGAAGCACACAACATGTTGAACTGTTGGGAGGCTGTATCACTTCACGAGAAAGTACTTTTGATTTTCAGGGTTAATAATCACCAGTGTCTCATGAAACCAAAACAACGCATGTAGAATGTGCTGTAATCCATAGTGTTGAATATTTTCATCATTTTCAACAATATACTAATCATGATTTAGTTAAGTGAAGTATGGATATCTTACCGAAACCTGCTTCGTAAAAAAGGTCACTCTGAAAGGTATTCCGTTATAAAGTGTCAGTAATATCATTTTATAAATGGCGTTTAAAAGATGATAATAATAAGGTATTCTCTAATCGCAGAGAGGAGTTAGAAAATGAAAAAACACCTAGTCTTCGTCATTGGCTGTAAACTTTCAAAGAAGTACAAATCTTCCCGATCAAGATCTATTAGTCCCAGTAAAACTATAACATTCAAAATTCCTGTTGATAAGAAGTTACACCAAAGCAAACAGCTTATACAAGCCATGAAAAGGAGTTTCGAAATACAGAAACAATCCCATAAAATAAGCAGTGGTTAACATACACCCACTTCGAGATATGCTTCATAGTGTAATCAACAGAAAGTGACAGTGTAAAAAGAAAGCATACTCAACTACATAGCTTAACCGTTAATAAACAGTCAACAGATCGAAATTAGTGCAGGAGATTGTTAGTCACAGTTCAAAGATCCAGGCTGAGATGTCAATAATTTTCCCACAGAGCTTAGAAAAATGAATTCACTAGTTATCAAAATGCATGCCTTTATCTGACTAAACTGGTGATTTTTGCAATATAACAGGTAGATTAGTTATCACAACTTGAGGACAGAGACAGCTAATAAAGCGAAACAGATTTGTGTCAATAATCAATAAAGTTTAGCAATCTGAGGAACCATATCATCTTCAAATCTACACCTCACTCAAATATCTTTCATCTAGTGATTTCATAATACTTCTTTATTGCCCAAGATGCGTCTACTCTTTATATAGTCTCGGCTATTTCACTTTTAAATACTCCATCACATAATCTTAGCGTACAAATTAACCAATCAAGTGAGCAGTGTACTTGTTCTTTGACAAAAAATTAGGTAGTTTTTCATCATTGCCAAACAGGCTTCATAGGATTAATGCCACTCTTCAATTAGGTGAATTCATTATTGCATAAAACTACTTTATTCTCTATTCTTAACCACACCATGTCCATGATATCACTCAGGAAGGAGAGAGAGAGAGAGAGCACGAGTTTCCACAAAGTCTTAGACATGATTCACCGACAGTTTTCAGCTATTATTAAAATAACATGAACAAAATAATTGGTACAGTTCACGGTGACTCATTCATTTTTGTGGTCGAATTCTGTAAATGAATGAAGATAATCTAAATAAAACTGAAGAAACTGTTTAATCTCCAGCAGATATCTTCTATGAATTATTATTGGAAGTCGCCAGTGACTTTAAAAATCACTCGTGCAACCAAGTTGTTCACACTATTTTTTCTTGTATAGTGATTCTTCATGAAATAAAGAAACGCAATCGGATAAACACATCAGTTGTTAGGGTAGCCTTTTGAATCACCTGAAATCATGATGGAAGAGATGTGATAACCAACTGAAATTTTACAATACTTTCAAAACAATCTCATTTAA